GGTACGTGACGGCTGGATCGATAATGACTCGCTCGCCGGTCTTCTCCGTCTTGACAGCCATGACACGACGTTGGTACTGATCGGCAATCAAGGGCGCGATGTTCGACTTGATACCGCCGGTGCCCAGACCGATGACAATAATTGCAACGATGTAACCGGGTTTGCCAGCGCCATTAGCCATAGCGACTGGGAGCGATGTCGTCCAGAGAATGACAAGACCAACCCAGTAAAAGGCGCAAAAGACCAGAATGGTCTTGTACTTACCCAAGTACTGGTCAGCAATGATGGCTCCGAGGATAGGAGTGACTAGACGTCTTTGTTAATACTTCTTCTTTACTCATGAATTCGTATGAGTATTCCACATACCGTAGCAAAACCACTGGAAGAACAGGTTCAGTCCTGTCGCAGCCTGGTGACCCATTCCGAGACCCTTCGGGCCATCGACTCCATTGGCGTCATTGCTGATGTAGTTCTGGAAAAGACCCTGCGCACCATAGTAGGTGAAGCGCTCCGTGAGCTCAACAACGGCGATCAGGAATGCTGAGGCGGGGAGGCTTTCTCCGACACGGCGCAAAGTGCCCCTCTCATACTCGTTGGGCTCGGCTCCGTCAGGGGTTGGGCCAGACTCGGCATCTTTCTCAGACACGGGCTCCTTCTTCTCGAGGTCGTGCGCCACACGCTCGCCGAACGTCTCGTGGAGCCTGCACAGAAACAGTCAGTACTGCGTCAGGGAGCCGACGATATGCGCAATGTTACGTACTCGGCCACGGTATCCTCGTGATTCTGGGCCATTTTTACGCAATTCGAAAGGTTAGACCCGAAGCATGAGGTGAACCAGAGGTGACTCGGTGTGAGGAAGAAGACAAGAAGAAAATTTCCAGAAGAGATCCAAGAGCAGCTTTTGGCCAGTGGGGAGGATGGAGACTCATTAGTATCTACACTAATCACTAATAATGCCCTTACCCTCGGGCGACTCCGACGTCTTCGAGGCGATATCTTGTTCCACCTGCGAAAAGTTTTGCCCGACTTGGATGCTCGCCCCAGGAACTTTTGCGAAGACGCGCCACAAACCGAACACCGACACACGTGCCGGACTCCACTCGGCCGAGTGAGCCGATCCTTTTGTGTGGTAATAACGGACACATCGGGTGGTTTACGAGGAATTTAGTGGACTGCTTGGCAAAAGGGCCGAAACGGGTGGCGCCAAGCGAGGTAAAGGGGAATAAGGCGGCCTTGAATTGCACTCTCTGATTGGACTACGCGCATTTTTCAACATTAGTCAATGCATCTGGTGCCGAGGTCGAAAGGGCGAAGATACTGAATCCGGGGTTTGGGGGACTTTTCACCACGTTACTCCACAAACGCCACGAGATGCAGACCAACGGCCGGCGGTAGGCTTGGTGCAGGAGCGGTTGAGGCTGTCCAATTACTACGTAGCAGTCGCACCCCGAGATTATGTATCGTCAATTCCAAGGGCTGCGACCTTCCCGTCTTGGCGAAGATTGGCAATGCTTGAAAGTCCATCGCCAAGCTACTGGTGGTAAGCCGCATGCTTAGCATCTTCGTTATCCGAATTGTCGAGGACATGATTCGAGGACATGACGTCATGGACTGACTGTCAAAGGGACTTTGTCAGGCGCTGCGGCATGCTGCACAGGGCATTAGAATGCTACCTTCGGCGTCGCCTAGTCTCCGTCTGCGAGTCTGCTGAGTGAGACTGTGAGAGTCGTATGCTCACTCTCGCCCGGTGTGGTTCATCAGTCCATTGCTACAGCAATTGAGGACGAGCTCTACTAAGGGCCTCGTCAAAAGTTCTTGCATGCACTTGTGGGCCAGCAAGCAGCAGAGGGTCCTTGCATGACAGTCGGAAATTCGGCTGTGGGTGGTGTGTGGGCCTCGCGCGCGAACGCCCAACTGAGCGCGTCTGGCTCGCGGGAACGTATCTACTATAACACCGAAAACTGAGGCTTCTAGAAGCTTTACCAGTCGATCATGCAACCGCGAACGTTAGTCGGATGCGCATAAGCACATAAGCTCGGTGGTCTCCCGGAGAAGGCCTTCCAGAACAGATCTGATCGAACTTTTTGAGCATGGGCATTCCCGAGCAATGGCATCGTCCCTTACTGCTGTGCTGAAAGACGCGATGTTTGCTACGCACACATGGAGCGGCTCGGCTTGGTGATGTGTTGACTTCGGGAACTGGACCGTAACCCGCGCCCCGTCGACTTTGAGCGGCAAGATCATAACACACAGACGGGGAAATTGAAAATAGAGATTGAGGAATCGATTTTCGACATCGCTGGATGAAAGGACATGGAGACTGTCATACGCCACGTGCTTTTAGTCTAAACTGTGGACGGGTCCGTTCATGCGAACGTCCAGACTGCAGGCGGGGCAAATGGATAAAGACGCATCGGCCACGTTGAAGACCCTTTATCGAGACAGACAATATAGGTTGGTCGGCAAACCGACGCCGGAAAATCTGAGGCGGATCATCCTGGCTCCGTTCAGTTGATATTCTGGCAGGAATTTTGACAGAAGCTTAGTGAGAGGTATGATTTAACCGTGACCATTGGTGCGGCCGACCTAGCTCCCCTCCAGACTGTACATTTCAGGGTATCAGCAAGTCTTTTGGTGTGTTGGGTGTGATCGACACCGCATTATCTGGTTACGATCTGTTTTTCCAACCCCCCCTGGGTTGGAAAGACACTTCTTGCTTTCGGTATTTTCTAACTATCTTTGATATTAACATAGAACTGCAGCAGCAGTGGTATTCATTGTGGGCTATGATAATTGAACGCTACGGAATATTTATATGTATGGTTATAGGATGAACGAAATCACGTCGAACTATGCAAACCACTGCTGAAGCATGAGTAGCCACTAGCGTTAATATTCCCGCTCCTCTACGCATACTTTCATATCTACAGCTAAATGCAAGTCAGGCTGTCAATCTTCCCGTGGGTTTTTACTTCTCATTATAGGCAAGACATAAGAACTAGACTGGAAGGCCTAAGGTGCGCATGCTTACTTCTATGTGTACACTTGGAGTCTTCATATATCCCCATCAGAGTCACACAGCAGTCAAAAAGGAGCGCCTCCAGGCGGCAAACTGCAAAAGAAAACTTAGAAGGGAAGAAGGAGTCTACAAAGAAGACTATCCTTTTCTTGCCATCACGCAAATACTACTCTTACAAAAATAGTTTCTATATACACAGTTGGAGAATTTAATCATCCTAACATTTTATCACGTGCCGATGTAGGCCTCGCTGTCGTTTAATAACACTATAGAATGTCAAAAGACAAGCCCTATACTAGACATGAAAAGCTAAAAACACTTTAAGAGTATCACCTACTAAATATATTATGCGACCTAGTCCTGCCTCCTTTCATGCTAATAGAATGGTTTACACGTGCTAATTTCTCACTAAACTGGACCCTCAGCCCTCAGGTTACCAGCTGGGAAATATCTTCTGGTTGACGTGAACTGCATAGGTAAGTCTTTGCTGATCTTTGGTTTTGATAACGAAGAGGCAGACACGTAAATTGACGAAGCGGTCGTCGTATGTAGGTGTAAAGTTGAACATGAAATGTTTCACTGGGCTTAGGCATTTAAATTATCAGCACCTTAGTTAATGGCAAGCATTCACTTCTGTTCGAGTTTTATTATAATAAGATTTTGTCCTTCCAGTAGTGCTGAGCGCAGGTGCAAAGTGCGGCTCATCTGCTGCTTAACTTTTCTTTTCAAGTGATACATTCGTTCAATTACGTCGAGATGTGCTTTTGACGTTGGAGACTTCCACGCCTTTGCTCTTGGAACTCAAGTGTCCGTCCCGTTTTTACGTGTAGCGGGAGTATTAAGGACGTTAAGACTGGGGAAGGCTTTTTTGCACCCTCCAACGAAGATATTTAGGCCACAAAGCCACACTGGCGAAGGCAACATCATCTATAGCCACTAGCCAGGGCATCAATTCGTTTCATGCAATTAGATGCTAACTCGTGAATAGCATGAGTTTAATCATTGGAGTCTTTCCCTTTCACGGAGCCCAATCTACGGCGTAGCATTACTGCCCTAGCTATTTTATCAAGCTTTCATTCCTCGGGAGGCCAGCTGCGAGGTGTCCCGCAGCCGACGACATGGCTAAGATCAAGCGATCCCAAGGCTGCAGAGACGTTACTGGGGAGCTGGAGCTTGGCGTGGGCGGTGATCCAAATCCTTCACCTCGCTTGCCGCCGCAGGAAGAGAACTCTGGCAACTGGTGCCTAAGACGTCGGAGACTGATCGAAGCATACCAAACAGGGGCCAAGTACGAATACACAAATCCAAATTGCATTCTGATGCGGGCACATAACCGATGTGAGCTGACATTAGCTCGCCTATTCGTAGCATCACTTGGCTTCATTAAGACAATCGTGGGGGCTGATGGATGAAAATCCCTCCTTCATGGTCTTCAAGAGAATCTTTCCCCGTTGGGCGTTAGCCGACGGCCCTAAAACTACCTAATGCTACACGGGGGCCGCGGGGGCTGTAAACCCTTGCAAAGTTTAACAGCTCTCCCGGCACTATGAACATGGCTCTGGTGCAAACAGACATGCGAGGCAACTCGACAAGGGGCTGGCACTCCACTGTAACGGTGATTCTCCCCAGACCCCGGTTCCAACAGGTGGTTGCAGACTAATATGCTGCACTGCCATGATTGCTTCACCGACATTTTCTCCGGACCTGCGCCCTTTCACGCTGCTTCTGGTTTTCAAAAATTCATGGTTCTCCAAAAACACCATATGGTCAACATTTGAGGAAGATGACGGATCAGATGCACTCAGAGTGAAGGAGAGTGGACGGGCCATGTTGTAATGTCATTGCGACGAATTATCTTCGTGCCAGTCTATGCTGAAATTCATGCTTAGCCCCCCTAACCAGTGCATTGTCACACCTGGGCTCAAAATTGGCATCCTCGCTGCAAATATCGCTATGCCATATCATATCTCATATATCGCATTTATCGAACGAAAGCACCACCTCCACTAGCACCAACCAGGTTACCTGTCATCCATCCGCTCTCAGGCAGGCAGCAGACGCCAACAACGCCGGCGACTTCCTCGAGGTAACCAGGGCGACCGCCGATGCTCTGGGCCAAGTCGAGGACTTCCTGGCTGTCGACGCCAGGGCGAGCCTTCGCAAGAGGGGTCAAGTTGTTCAACGGGCGGAGAGCCTCGCGAGGCTCGTCGGGCAGACCAGAATACAAGCCCGTGTCCATGGGACCAGGGGCGACAGCGTTTACGGTAGCTCTCTCCGCAAGCTCCCGAGCCCACACACGGGTCATGGCCTCAATAGCACCCTTGGTGCCAGCGTAGGACGTCTGCCACCAGACACCCCATGTAGTAGTGGCGCTGGAAATGTTGACGATGCGACCAGAGCGGTCAGTGGGGAGGTAGGGGAATGCAGCCTTGATCAGCAGCGCGGGGGCTCTGCAGTTCAAGTCGAAAGTCTGCTGGAAGAGGTCGATGTCCAGCTGGTCGATACCCTGGGCGTTGACAGTGGCAGCGTTGTTGACGATGATGTCGATTTGGAAGCGACCAGACGCATCAGTGAAGTGCGCCTTTGCTGCATCAACAAGCTGCTGAGGAGCGTCGGCCTTGCTGAGGTCGGCCTGAACAGGAAGTGCCTTCACGTTGTATTTGGTCTCGAAGTCCTTGGCCAGTGCTTGGGCCTTGGGCGTGGAACCCTCAGTGGCATAGTTGAGGACAACATTAGCACCTCTGCTAGCAAAGTGCTCGGCAAGAACGGCGCCGAAGCCTTCAAGACGAGTTAGCTGATTGTGATGCCATAAAAACGTGTTTAGCCACGGCGACCCATGGCCAACGTCAGAACCTTAATTTCACTTACTGCGAGAAGCGCCAGTGACAATGGCAAGCTTGCCCTCGAAAACCCTGAAAGGAGGAGCCATTTTTGCGATTCAGTTTCAAGATGAAAGATGATTAACCTTGGGTGACGGCGGGGAGACGCGGAGGATATTATCTCCTCCCCCACGTGATAGAGAACGCATTTTATATTCTCCTCCGTGACAGTTGTCTCTCTCCTGTCTCTAGTGCGTCTCTATCCACTTGGTGCACAGATCAATGCCGACGGGCCGCATGGTGTGGTGGATTCCAGAGAGCAGTCTAGACAAGGATGATGGCAGGAAGAACAACCTAAAGTCTCCACGCAGCCACGTCAACCGACAAAGGCGCCTGCCGATCTCAATGTCTACAAACTACCGATGAAACCTCGCGAACTTCACCAGTCGCTGGGCAAAACCACAAAGGTCATGAAGCAACTCCATCCGGGGGGAAAAGGTATGCAGGATGCAAATCTCTTCTTTATCATATCTCGTCTTGGTCGTTGGCAAACACCTCCTACTTCCAGGAGACCAAGCGTCAATGCAAGTTTACAAATCTCTCATCAAAGTGGCCCCCATCTCCATTCACAGAGGGGTAATTATGGGTTTACGGACACAGCTGAAATACGCGACTCCACGAGTATCAACAACCGCAGTTGCACACTGTGAGCAAGGCAGCCCGGCTGCGTGGGTCGGCCTAGTAACCGACTGGCACTCCAGCAAACCGTGTTGAAGAGCTGGATCCACCATCATGGGTCAAGCCAAGTCGCTAGGCAGGTTGACACCGCCGGAATCCGCTAAAGAGCTCCCCGATCCTCGGAAGAGGATCTGCCAAATACAGTATCGATCTCCCTTAGATGGAGGCTAGACGTTTCGGGACAGTGGGATAAATGCGACACCAGACGGATGAAAGGAGCTGGTATGTTCACAACCAACCGATCTCGCGTAGCATCGACAGGAACCGCTAGACTCCCAAACCAAGCTGCCGCTAAGATCGCGATCGCACAGACGAACGGCACGGAAGTTCGAAAAGTAGACCATCTGCCACGAATCTTCTGACGGAGAGCACACGAAATTCGACACGTATAATCGTGGCTAAAGCCGACAGTATCGTCATGTTCCTTGCGCCATGCGACATGCAAGAATGACGGACACATGCGTATGAACTCACGTGAGACTGGAGGGGGAGGACAGACGTTCCCTGTCGAAAGAAACCAGCCATCCATGGTCGAGGGATGGGCAAATGTCTTGATTGGTTGGCAGTTTAATAAAAGAAAGTCCCGATGGGATGCCGTCGAAATTAGAGAGTCTGAGCTGGGCAAGGGGTTTGAAGAGTCTTCCATGCTCGCTTCCTTCAGACTTCGAGGCCTTCCTTGCCACAGTGCCACACTAGGCGGCAGAGGTCCTGGGGCTGGGGTTTGTGGATACTTTGTGCAGGTTCGTCTCTTAAAAAAGGAACCGAGACGCGATTAAGTAATTGGCAAATGCTGGCTATTGTTTGGTATCCCGTTCTCTTATAAGTTTTCTGGGTCGGTAGGTCGTTGCTCGTCTGTTCGCTATTTTGTGGCTCTTTCATCCCCTTCGACAAACCAACGCGTGGAGCACGAAGCCGGTTCTTCAGTGATCGCAAATCCGTCAATCCAGACACCATGGGCGCCGCAACCTCGAAGGACATGGCGGCAGCGGTCCTGGTGCCGCTGCCATTCGACATCATCAGTATGGCGCTGCGATTTATGATCCGGACACAGAGGAAGGCGTGGGGACCCGACGATTGGGCCATGGTAGCTACCATTGTATGTTCCATCAGGCGGGTTCCAGCAAGGTTTTGACTGACAATTTGAAGCCGGTTTGGACGGTATCTCAGGTCGGCTTGATCGGCATGGCCTGGAGTGGCGTTGGTCAGCTCGACTCAACCCTGACACCAGAACAGCAGGCCAACTCTTACTTCGTAAGTCATGAAGATGGCTTCCATTTTATTGCTAGGATGCTGATGTGTTGCGCAGTGGTTTTATGTGTTTCAAGAGTTCTGGTGTTTTACCCTCGTTACCTTGAAATGGTCTATCGGTTTTACTCTTCTCCGTATCGCGAACGGGCAGCGCTGGGTTCAGATTGTCATCTACACGTGTTTAGCACTTGTTACAGTCTGCACTGGTGGCACTGGGATGTATCTTTTCTTCCAGTGTAGCCCGGTTGAGTAAGTTCTAAAGCTCATGAAGCCTGTTGTATGCGTTGCTGACCATTGGAGGAAAAATTGGTTCCCGCTTATGGAAGGAACATGCCAACCTCGCGAAATACAAACCGCCCTCTCGTTCCTTGTTGCAGCTGTCTCGATTTCAACCGACTGGATCTTCGCCATTCTCCCATTCGCCCTCATTTGGAGACTCCAGATGGCGAACCGAATCAAGGCTTCCGTCATCGGCCTGCTCGGTCTTGGCTTCTTGTGCGTCCCCTATGTTTTACCCCCGGATCCCCAAGTTATTCGCTGACAGCAGTTAGTGCTTCCATCGCACCCATCGTCCGACTCAAATACCTTCTCCTTTTGAACGACTCGACGAAGTTCCTCCAGGGTCTCAGTATCATCCTCGCCTGGGCACAGGCCGAAGTCGGCATCGGCATGCTTGTCGCGAACCTTCCTGCTTGTCGTCCACTTCTCGAACGCGCCTTGTCTCGCCTGACATCCTTTACTGGCTCGAAGAATAAATCCTCCAAGGATCCCGCTGCATCTGGCGCTGTCAAGAACAGCTATTTGGAACTCGGCGAAAGGGATCCGACTAAGAAAGGGACTGCGAACGCAAGCCGCTCCGGCGTCGAGACGAGGGTATACGGAAGGGACATGGATGGCAACAGTAGTGAGAGCTTGCCCGACGACCACAGTCAGAAGCAGATTGTCAACAAAGGAGGACTTGGTGCAATTCGGGTCCAACGGGAGTTTGGTATGGAAGTTGAGAAGAAGCGCGGTGGAAACAGCATGGTTTAGGATATCACGAGCTTGGCGGTAACGAGGGTACTGACGATTAAAATGGGCTTTCTTTTCGAATAATGTGTACAATCTTCAAGGAACTCAAAATACCATTCCAGCTGACAGGTCAGCATTGATTACTAATTCTACGTTGTCAACCACCTCCGATGATCTGCGCGACGTTTTTTTGTGTCTGGTAATGGTTCTGGGCCGTGCCATCCTCACACTTGGATTCTCATCACAGAAAAACAACCAGTGACGTTTCCTGAAGTATCTTGAGCATTGCAAATCACAGTCAGAAAGGTTTGTCGTAACTTTGGCGCAAGTGGAATGCGACGCCACCCCGCCCTGGCGGCTTGTATGTCACATTGAGACATCTCAATGCGCGCAGGTCAGCGGATAGAATTGGCTGATGCCTTTTGACCCGTAACGCTGGCCAGCAACTGGTGTTCTCGAAGTCGATCCTTTGCGGCGACTTGCCGTTGAGCCTCTGGCGAGTTGTCCTGCGTCTACAAGTCCGGATGAGCCCGCAGCGCGGCAGAGCGGGTCGGCAAGCGCTCAGACAGCAAACACGACTCGCGCCAACACGCTTGAATGTTCACGCACGGTACCATACGGCACTTCTCTTCGGATGTTCCGATTGGCCTGCAATGGTACTGTGGATGTCTTCCGAGGATGTCATGCATATAAACCGTCGCTTTTTGGCTGTTAGTGCGCGGGTACCGCAAAAGGAAATTCGGTCGTCGTCCGAAAGTCGGCGACCGGCACAACCCCAATCTCTCAGGCCATGGGGAGGAGGGGAAACGCCATCGATCTCGAGATCACGAGGATTCCGTCGTTTAATGGCCTGTCTCCAAACCCAACATACATATATCAACAGAAGCTACCCCCCTCAGCACACTGTCAGAGATGCAATCTGAATGGAAAACAGTCTGGGTAAGTACCGCCGTGTTGACTTTCACATGAAAGTGCCTAGTACCCAAGGAATCCCACAAAAAGTCGATATTGCGGGGCCAACAGGTGCCAGAGCCATTTTACTCTGTACAGAGAGGTCTTCGGCTGTTAGCTCAGGCCTACCCATACGGCCCCGTTCATCCGCTTGCCTTTCTCGTCAAAGCATTGTCGAAACTCATAGGTGTTACCTTCTTTCCACTCTCAAGAGTCCGCGACTCGGAAGTCGCCCCCACTCCTGTCGCACACGGCAGCAAACTCGGCTGCCAAGCTCGCGGTCGCAATCGGACTCGGCCCCACCATCGCCGATACACTTGGCAACGCTCACCCTAGAGAGCTTGAGGCATGCATGATACCTATTGTGTTATCGAGGTCAATGCTGTTAAAACTCAAAAATACCTACATAGAAATGGCATTCACACTATGCTTTCCGCTTACTCACTCCAGCCTGAGGGTCATTAGACTGCTAAGACCAGGTTTCGGCGATGGACACTACATTTGCTCCGCGCCGGCCGTCAGACACGCGGCAGGTAAGATCAACCAGCCTGAACCACCAATGATAGTAATCACTTGTTTTTTCACAACAGTTTCTATTTCCGAAGTTCCGAACATCTTGAGAGGTATCGCGTCTTATCTCCTTGCTCGTATGCCCGAGCCAGGCATCCGGTGGCACAATAGAAAACTCGTAATCCGACTTTGCACATTTCAACTAGCCGTCTATTTAAGTTCATAGGGGGTGGAAAATTTCCAAACAATTTCCACATCCTCAATCAAGACAGCCAATCTACCTACTTAGGAATACCTCGCCCGCACGCTTACCATGACGACTGCAGAGAGAGACACTGTAACAGCCATCCAGGCCATCGAGACGCTAGCCCGAGGCACACTTCTGCAGCCTAACCGTCGACTTGACCAAGCAATCATCAATTCTGAGCAGAACGGACTTCCATCCATTGAGGTTGCCCCTCTACAGGGGCAATTTCTTGCTATTCAGTGCCAGCTTCTGGGCGCAAAAACCGTCCTTGAGATTGGCACCCTGGGAGGCTATTCAACCATCTGGCTTGCAGAGACTGGTGCAAAGGTCACAAGTATTGAGATCAACCCGAAGCACCGAGACGTCGCCCTCCAGAATCTGGATGGTCTCGACGCCGAGATCATACTCGGCGCTGCATTGGATGTTTTGCCAAAGCTTGCAGAGGAGGGGCGCAAGTTTGACATGGTGTTTGTTGATGCTTCTTGGGGTGAACAGGAGAAGTATTTTGACTGGGCAGTCAAGTTAACCAGACCCAAAGGGTGCATCTATGTCGATAATGTGGTCTGGAATGCTTTGGACAGCGGCGCGACAGAGGACGGCAAGCAATCACTCCTTACTCAGGTCGGGAAGGATGCTCGCGTCAGGGCAACGCTCGTGCCGATGGTATCTACCGCTCACACCGAGCATAGGGGAAGGATTATCATTGATGGATTCCTGTTAGCAGTGGTAAACTAGACTTGAGTGGCCTATGACAGGTTCAAGTTTGTGGTTCTAGGGACATGGGTGTTCGGCTTGTGTATGAGTTAAGAAGGGAATTGATAGTAGCCTTCTTGCACTAATACGCGACATGTTCCTGAACGTATACTGTGCCTGGGATGCGCCAAAAGTGAGAATGAGACCACGACTGGGATGTTTCATTGTTCAGAAGGTGAACAACAACCCCAGGCCCTCCGCGATTTCCTGTTGAAAATTTACATAATTACGGCCTGGGTAACCGTCCATTTGCTAGAGAATCCGGTCTCAGATCCCTCAGGATCGCGGACCCGTCCAAACCCCAGACGGCTAAAATGGTTCGCGCTGGCTTGGGAGCGACCGAGAATGAGGAATGGGGAGAGTTTTCCTTGCCGGTGAAAAATAGACATGAGATAAACTGGGAACGTTCCTGGTCTCTGGACACCATCAAGAGCTCTCTGGCTAGTCGTTGTCTCGTGATCAAAAGAAATTGTTCCAGTCTCGAGTGGAACATCGAGCCACAGATCCGAAGTCGTCAACTTTGCTGGCAAAGGTTCCGCATGTCCTGCACTCAGGACTTTCAGCGTAGCGAGCCCAGAATCTTCAATGGACACGATAGCCTCGACCATGGGTCCACGAAGAACTATGGTCGGCGTTGCCACATCATTGGGCTCTTGACTCTCCAAAGGTTCGGGATATTTCAGAACTTCAGCCATTGCCACTGTGTCCTTGTCGTGAGCTTCAAAGTACATGGATATCCGCGCAGAGATAGAAGCCCAAGTCCACGAAGGCATATTGGGTGCAATGATATCGCCTGTCTGGAGAGCAAACCAGCAGAGAGAAGACAGAAAATCTCGTCTCCATAAGCCCCAAAGATATTGATCTTCGAGCTCCTCTCGGAAGCGATCTGCGACGGCTGTTATCGCGACTAACTTATCAGATTGATGCGTAAGTTGCCGACGTGAGTAAATCCTGATAATGCGTGCCCATACAGCATATAGCGAGAAGCTGTCGAACGCCATCTCCTCCCGGCCTTCCTTAATGAGAGTTTCGATATTGTATGATTGAGTGTTATGTTGGATGCGTCCAGAGGCCACGTTGTAGTAGATCGATTTGTAGCCGCATTCGCAACGAGAGCCATCGAGACACTCCCATAGCATCTCATGTGAGCCAAAAGAGAGATATCTCCTAGCCATCAATCTTTCCTGGAAGCACCAAGCACGGGCATCTATGGGACCCTGCACCACAGGTTCCCATCCAGCATGGTTAGGGATCACCCTGTATGTGATTGCCCCTGAACCAGGAACACCACACGTGTCAAACGACAGCGTACCCTCTTTGTACGGTGACCTTTCTCGCAATATCCCTCTGGAGACGTTGTCGGACGAACTGGTTGCTAAAACGAGAGCGGCATTTTCGTAAACACTCTTCATGCTGGCAGCCTCTTTCGCCCAATCCTCTCCATCATCCTGCACGATGCAAAGAGAGTCGATCCAGATATACGTGAAGCCCAATGCTAAAGTCACGGCAATGGCGTCTTTGAAGTTGCGTGGAAGAGTGACTTGATCGATGGCCCGGACATGTGTTCCAATGCTGTTACGCCTCGTCATTGGAGGACCGGCGCCATCGACGGAAAAGCCCCAGCAATGGCTCAAAGCAACAAAATTGCCAAGCTCGTTGTTGGTGATTTGTAGACGGGGCGGGTCAACGCTCACATCAACGATTCTCGTTGGTAGAGGTTTCGGTCTTATGTGACACGTAGAGTGCGATGAAGAGCAGCTTTTCATCCACTTCTGCGATTGTTCAATGCAGTCTTTCGTTGCGTTGGTGTTCAAAATGGGGTTGTATGGTTCTAGGTGGTAACCATTGCTGTCTTGATGTCATCTTAGCTTTTGGTCAACCACGTCAGTTATTGCACAGAAGTGCGGCCATTAAAAGCTTCTGACTGCGAAGAAACAAAAGTAATTTACAGATAGAGACTGACCTATGACACTCCCGTCTCGTGCGAGAATAACCATCCGGACTTGGTTCGTCATATTCTCATCACTACCACAGTTCAGCGTCAGTGTCAACCGGATGACACTATCGATTTCGTTGTCGAACATGGACGACAGTGCGAATGCATCATCATAGCCGAACTTGCTTATCGCGTCCTTCGCGACTGCTGTTCCAAGCTGACACAAAGAGCAGCCGCCGGCCAAAGCACTGGCAAACCATTTCTCGAGCGGCTCAACCCCGTAGCCTTGGGGGAAAGGCAACTTGCAGTTGGCCCATGGAAAGGTTTTGCGACAGTGACAACTGGTGCAGATGCTGTCCATCGCGTCTTCTTGGTTCATAATCGATTGCCTCCCGCTTTCTGGGATACATGTCTCCTTCAAAGGACCACCCGGGTTGAAATGGAGTTTTACGGATAATTGCGAAGCGGGGAAGTTGATCGAAGGCCTCCACACGTGATTATTGTCAGCTCAGTGTGACATTACTGGCCAGTCACTAATCAGCGAATAAGAACACCTGAAGCAGACGAAAGGATCGTGAACCCAGTCATCTGCCAAGCTCTCACTGCGAAAGTCCCTCGCTAGTGGTTCTGTGAGAATGCATTGCTGAACATGGCTTCGGAGTGGACATTTGGATGTCGTTCGCCACATCTAGGACATCCGAGAATACAACTCGAGAGGTGCACCGGGTTATTCGACGAGACTACATGTGTTGACCCACAGAGCGACGAATTGACTTTTGTTTATTGATAGGCGCATAATGGAAAGAAAGTAAGCTTTAGAGAAGGAAGAAAGGTTCCCTGCCTCCGCCGGCTTGAAACGTGAAACGCGCCCCGTGCGGCATTGATATCTCAGCAGCATTACCCAAATGTTGCGATCTCGCTGAAAGAAAGGATCTGTCTAATTCTTCCAAAACATTTTCCAATCACAGTACTGTAAGAACGGTACATCCTCAAACTTCATGGCGACAAGCTGCCTACAGCAAATTACGAGCCTTCTCCCCCTTTCCGCTAATCGTCAGGCGGCTCAGGGAGATCGTTCCGAGATGACCGAACGCCCTGTCAATCTGTCAGCGGCAGATGTGTTGCAGCACCCTGCGTTTGGAACGACAAAGTGGAACCTCAAACCTGCCGAATCGGGGCTTGTCAGCGTGGCAGACAATCGGGCTGGCGGTCCATTTCCACTCTGGTATGAGGTTCATGGCAATGGGCCTCTGAAAATCGTGTGGATTATGGGTCTTGGGGCGACGAGGAATATGTGGAAACGGCAGACGCGTTTCTTTGGTCATGATCACGGTGACCGGTACAGCTGCTTGGTATTCGACAATCGCGGAGTCGGAAAATCAGGGAAGCCTAACTGCAGATATAGTACTGCAGAGATGGCAAGAGATGTGCTGGAGCTAGTGAAGCAAATTGGGTGGCTCGACTCGGATTCACCAAGCTACCCCCAGGACATCAATATTGCTGGCATCAGTCTCGGCGGCATGATTGCGCAGGAGCTAGCCCTTTTGATACCGCAGCGAGTCCAGTCACTCATCTTGATCTCATCAGCGCCGAGACTGGTTCGAACCACACCTCTTCTGGACCACACTATGCAGCGCGTCTTCATGTTTCTCCCATCTGGATTGGATACAGAGCTGGACAATAAAGCACGCAGAATCTTCAGCGACAAGTTTCTTAGATCCGCGGACACCGGGTCTCTCGATGCGAATATCAGTTTTCCAAATAATCACGATCGTTTCGTCGCAGAAGAGCTTGCGGAGCGGAAAGACGAAACAGACGTATCGCGCAGAAAAGGGGTTTTCCTGCAAGCGGTAGCCGCCGGGTGGCATTTCAAAAGCTCAGAAGATTTGGCTAAAATGGGCGATTTGGTAGGCCGATCACGGATCATGGTCATGCACGGCACGGCGGACGAGACTATCACATTTCCTCACTTTGATCTGTTCAAGACAGGCTTTGGAGACGGGCCGGAGTATTTTGTGTGGGATGAATGCGGCCATATACCGCTTTGGGAGAGAGAACACGAGTTCAACGCGCGTATTGCACAGTTCATATACAGGAACGCCAATCTCCCGGCCTGAAGACACAAGTCGGTCTTCCACCGTCCACTGGGGCTAGGACTCTGAGGAAATACACATCATCTATTCGTCACTTGAGAATCTATGACTGGGGGCCATTCCTGAGTCAATTTTCCGCTGTTTTCTCAGCCTGTACTGTGTTTCTCTGTTTGTGAGCGTATGGCCTAAACCCGGATGCGTGCCCATGCATATTCCGGACCTTCCGGAATGCATGATGGACGAGTGAATTGTTCGCTTGAACCACACTTCCATGAGTTTGCCACAGTGAATCCTATTCGCGGTGCTCGTCTTGAACTTACGGGTCCCCAGTCGGACGATGAGTAGCTGTGGGGGTGCAACCCCTCGTTCGGCAGTAGCTACACCGAAGTACGGAGGCGGATGCAAAGTCAATCAAGCTTCTCGGATATGTTACGCTAACATTTATCCGGTGACTACAAAAGCTTTCTTTCAAGATCAAAGTTATTCCCAACATCTGTTAAGGAACGGCGGCACTGCAAGTGTTTTCCTAGGTGTGATGAAGTCGCGCAAAGATGCATGTCCGCATATGTCTTCTTTTCTTGCCAGTATTAGCATCAACGGCTATTGACAGGTGAGAGATTTCCTTACTGAACCGGAAATACAGGAAACCGTATTAAATAATTATCTTCAGGCGCGCGATTGTTGAATCGTTCAAAGTCATCAGGACTGAAGTGCCGACAACCATTGACAATGCAACTACACCACTTCAAGTTGGTAACGGCGACTTTGCATTCAACGTGGACATCACCGGAACCCAGTCATTGGTACCTTTCAATACATTGTCAAGTTGGGGCTGGCACAAAGACAGACTTCCTGAAAATGGGTGAGTGTTCATGCCTACTTTATTACGGATTGCAGGCCAAATCTGACGGTGCAATTCCATTGGATTTGTAGTGAGAAAATTGGCGACTATCATGGAGTAGCAATTGAGACACACGGAAAGGATGTTTTCTATGACATCGAAGATCCAGAATTACCGGAAGTTTCGAAATGGCTCAGCGCAAACCCCAACCGAATCAATTTAGGTCGGATCAGCCTCGCGTACAAGAATAAGCCTTTGTCAACAATCACAAAACCTCATCAGGAGCTCAATCCTTGGAATGGAACGGTCGTCTCCAATTTCCAAATCGATGGACACCATACGAGAGTGATTACGCAAGGAGACTTCGAGACAGACTCTGTTGCATTCGAAATTCAATCCGACTTGATTTCGACCGGAGACTTGAGCGTCTTATTCGACTTCCCATATCCCCCAATTCACAAAGTTGAGAAATCATCAGACTTTGAGGTTTTTATGGGAACATATGACCTAAAGTCATCGCGGAATCATACAACATCAATCGTCAACAACTCTTTCTCCCAACAAATCTCAGCTCACATCTACCACGAGATGCAAGAGACGGCGTACTACCTGAACTTACGGTGGCCTCATCAAACACCACTCGGCCTGGCTCAGGTTCAGAATGAAGACCAGAACGGAACAACCGCCCATCGCTATACGTTACGTCTCAGAGATGCTTCTCAGGATTATATGTCCCCGAGTAAGCTGATCTTCACTGCTAATTACAGCCCTAAATTGGAGATTCCATCGCTGCCATCAGAGATACAAAAGAGAAACGTTGTTGGGTGGCTGAACTACTGGCAGGAAGGAGGCTTTGTGGATCTCACGAAGTCGACAAACCCCAATGCGACGGAGTTGCAGCGGCGTATCATCCTTTCTCAGTACGCGATGAGGGTCAATAGCGCTGCTACTGGCCAACCCCCTCAAGAAAGCGGCCTTGTTTACAACGGTTGGTGGGGAAAGTTTCATCTCGAAATGGTTATCTGGCATTGTGCTCAGTGGGCCACGTGGGGACGACAACAATATTTTGATCGAATCTTCCCGTCTGTGTACGAAAGTCTCTTGCCTAGCTCAGAGGAAAGAGCTCGCAAGATGGGCTGGGATGGAGCCAGGTGGCCCAAGATGACCGAGCTTGTCACAAAAGGCATTGCACCTGGCGAGACGCGCGCATTTCTCCAGTGGCAACAGCCCCACCCGATGTATCTGGCAGAATTGGCCTACAAAGCCACTCCGACCACCGAGACCCTTCAACGATGGGATCGTGTCATCACAGCAACAGCCAACTACATGGCATCCTTTGCGTGGCTTAACAATCAAACTGGTAGATATGACATTGGGCCCCCAATCCAGGGGGTTACCGAGAACTCTTCTCCAACCGAGATCTCCAACTTGTCATACGAACTCGCTTACTGGCAATGGGCTCTTGCATCCGCCTGTAATTGGAAAAAAAGGCTTGGAGAAGGATGCCCACCCAGATGGACTGCCGTGGCAGATAATATGGCTCCACCACCTCAATTCGAAGGGTTATATGCCCCTTGGGTTGGTGGCGGGTTGAATGCATCATGGTGGGATGATCCAACGCTGAAGAAGGATCCGCGCAGTGTCATTATGCTTCAGGGAATCTTGCCCGACACACCGCTGGTAAGAAATCCTTCCTACTTCATGTCCTTATCACAATATTTGACTGTCTTCGTTCATTAGGTGGACCCTGCCGTTGGCCTTAGGACGGCCGATAAAGTATGGGAGGCTTGGGGTGATGATCAGATCCGAGGCTGGGGCCGAAACATTTTGGCCATCAATGCTGCACGAGTCGGGAATCCAGAGCGCGCCATCTATCATTTAACAAACTTCGGATATTGGACATTCGGTGACCAGGGCTTTGCCCACCGATCTGGACCAAGTGAGTCACGACCTATCGATCCCAGTCCTGTTCCTGTGGGCGCCACCGTTTCTAACAAATTCACATATAAGGTCCATCTCCGCCTCCGTACTTCCCCGGCAACGGCGGGTTTCTTCTGGCGATCAGCTATATGGCAGCCGGCTGGGAAGGCTCTAAGGGGCATGCCCCTGGGTTTCCGAAAGACGGCTCCTGGACCGTTAAGCATGAAGGACTAATGCAATCTTTGTGAGAGAATCTGCTTTTCTCCGACCGTTCTTTTCGGGGAACGTCAAGCTAGCCATCGCATTTGTTCAAGGTTTCTCAATACTCTGTAACCTAATTGCCGGTATATACTGCTACCAAGAGCCCGCCAGAGTATGGCGCAGTAGTAGTCTTGAATCGGTTCCTGGGGTCATCTAGATACGCAATGAGATCCGCGTATCCATCCTTGCTAGAGACAACATTGTCTGCCACAATCAATGCCCCAGGCTTCAATCGAGTCTTGATAACCTTCAACGTGGGAAGAGCCAAAGCTGACCAGACTGCGAATGGCTTGTGTCAGATGCACAGCGAACATGTTTGGCTCAAGATCATTGCTTAACTTACTATCCAGAAGCAGAAAGTCAATCTGTTCAGGAACATCTGTCTTGAGTGTTTCCCGCAAATCCCCCTCTTTCAAACGAATCCACTTCTCAACATCTTTCCCGGCCCGCTTCCAGTGCTCTCGGGCTCTGCTAGCCTTGGTTGGCTCGTTCTCTGTGGCGATGACAATGCCATCGGTGTTTTGGAGTCCCGCATTCTGCCCGACGGCAAGAGCAAGCCAAATCGTGCTAACGCCAAAAGAGGTCCCGGCTTCGACAACGTATCTCGCGCCGGCTGCACGCAACAGCAAATAAACAAGAGCGCATTTGTCCGGTTCAAGAGCAACAAATCTGTCAAGGGCGACAGAGGCGAGTTGGTTGTCCGTACTGACGTATGGGGGCTCGGTGAGCGCTTGCGTATGCAGGTCTCGAAGCAGGTCAATGGTGGTCGGGCTTGCCTGCAACGAAGCAAGGTGCCGGTCGAGGCTTGCAATATCCGCCATACCGAAATCCCGCGGAGAATTAAGGTCGCCGAGGATGTCGAGAAACAGCGATGAGTTCCGTCAGCTTCGATCACAATGTTATGTATCTGATTTTCACTTCCGAAGGGCGCAGTTGACGTGTAGCCCGAGGCCGCGGGGTTGGCCAGACTTGAGCGATTACATACCCCCAGTCTGCAGCCGGGCATTAAATGTAGATCGCGCGCGGGGACCTTTCAATTATCGGCTACTACATCAAATGGATCAGTTTAAAGACGGTGCATGTTCTGATTACCTCTTATTGGAAGATGAACATGGCTTGCTGATTCTCTGCTCCGCACCCCCTCAGGGTCTCGATTGCCAACTGTTGCCGTCGATCTCCGAACTGACCAAAGCGCCAAACGCACGTGAAGTCTTGCGAACGCCGCGTGCAATTTTGCTTCCACATTGGATGTCGCTTCCCCAATGGCACAGAAACTGACACAGGTACCGACCAACCACACCATCAGCACATCCATCCGACTACGACAGACACCTCCGGCCCCACAGCGGAGACCGAAATAACGGAGGTGGGGTGCGATATACCGGAGCACTGCCGATCGGCCTGACGAACCGATGTTTTATCATATTTCCCTACTCATTGCAAAGCTGGAACAAATTTGGCACTGGTAGAATTAGAGACAGTTTATTTTTGCTATGAGAATTGAGACCTCTCGTTACCTTGTGGCTTGTCTTCACGATCAACTTTTTCATCAATCCCTTGCGTCGCGAAGTGTCCGCAGGGGCTCTCGCCTGTGGGCCGCCCTTCAGATCCGGGACACTAGCAAGCCACAACAAGGTCTTTCTGGAACAGCCGCTTCGCAGCGGTACGCCTCTTCTGATTAGTGGACATTCAATCACTTTCAGTCCCTTGCTTCCAAAGCCGATAGAAACTGTTGGCCTTCTACGGCGGCAATATCAAAGATGACTCGCTATTGACATGGATGACAGAAGTCACTTTACCACGCGAGCCCCACTGAGATAGATTTTTAACTGTAGTTAAAGCGACGCTCATGTCGCAACTCCAAATGAAAACTAGGAAAGGCCCTTTAGAACCAAAAGCCCATCTGCTATACAGCAGACAAAAGGCTCAAGCTTGGCTAGAAGAGGAGCATGTAAGGGTCGAAAGAAGGGTTCAAAAAGAAGCTTGACATGCGAGCAGCGTGGCGTGACCGAAATAAAATGAAATTCTAAGGGAGAGAAAAACATAGTCCTATCAACTACGATATAAAAGGTGGTGCGGACCCAAACGCCCCGGGCAATCTGTTTTCTACTTTCACCCGCCACACATGGCAATGCCCAATTTCCGAAATCCCCGTGCCTGTAAGCAGCAAGTAGGATCTCGTACTTCGTGTCAACTGACATCCCGGCAACAATGAACACGCTCCATCATATCACGGATTGGAAGATAGTATCAGGTCCCGGCGACTTTCATTCCCACTGCAAGCTGGGAAGCCCTTGCGATATCGGCCACCGAGGATGCCTATCGGATTGAGATGCAATATGCCAGAGGAGTGGATGGTTATAATTCGACAGTAGGACAGCACCCGAGCGGCAAGCAGACATGGTGGCAAGCTGTGTGGCTGAGGGTTACCACCATGATGGCGGACAGATTCGGCTCCAAGTATGAACACAGCTGTGCATGACGTTATTGGACACGGTTATGGACATTTTGTCCAAATCGAAACCATGATTGTTACTTTAAAGATGAGCGTCCAAGAGCGATGAGCTCCTATATGTAGGGAGAGACCAAACCCGCAGAGTGGCTCTACCCGCTTCTATTACGTTCCTTATGATCATGCATTTGGATTCTGCTCAGTCTATGTCATTGTTCATCAGCCACAGCGGCCAAACCTCTTCAGCGCTGCTGCTCGATCTCCATGGGATTATCTTGTTTTTGGTCGAGCTCCGCATCATCCCTGATGTTCCCGGCGTGTATGAAAGGCCTTCATTTGCTACTCATTTCAGTTGAAGGAATAAAAGTATGTCCAGCGTCGCCGAAACGGGTATTTTGTGTGACGCTCATGACCGGACCCAAGGCGCAACACCGGAATCTGATTGATAAACTCATCAGCACAAGTTGTTTGTATGAACCGCCAAGGCAAATATTGAACATGGCCAAATTTGAATGCAACCTCCTTGACAATATAGCTGCCGCGATTCTTCTTGGCATTCATGGATTGTTGGGTGCTTCAGTGGGGGAGGCTCTTGGCACCACCTTTCGATGGCTCGGCGCAGGCGGAAGCTCCCGGGATTTCAAACAATGCACTGCAATGGGTGCTTGCGCGCTTGCTGTTTTCCCCTTAACAAAACGAGATTGATAGTGGTTTCGAACTCGTGAAATTGCACCTTGCTACTTCAGCGGCACCTATCGGATCTTCTAAAAGCAGGTGGGCATCCGTCAATGGTTTCTCAGCCAGTCCCAAATGATACGGATCCCATTTAGAACCGCGCAAGAAATAGGGTCTTGTCAAGGTGACTATGCCGCAGGAAACACTAGCCTGTATCAATTATCGAACGTTTTCCTTTGCTTGCACTTGTCAAGCGGGTGTGAATACGAGCCACCTGTGTTTCTTGTCTTCCAATGTACATGGATCTCCATTGTCCATGTGAAGTACCTAGTCCAGCGACATAGAATTACAAGACGTCAAACACGGGACGCGATACGATCGAATTATCAGATGACTGCGTTGCAATTCATTACTTTTCCACGTTGTGCCAAGACACTGATACTTAATCCGGGACTTGGTTTTCGTCAATACCGCGCAACCCATACTGCTGACAGCCACCTTAGACAGTCTGACAAGTACAGACGGTGTACTACAGAAAGTCCATTCCGCTGAGGCAACTCGAAGTCACTTCTAATTGCATGAGAGGCGAGATCAACGCGGAACCGCATTCAAGTGGACTTTCTTGCGAGTCACCCGCGCGCACGTGAGGTAGATCAAAATCAGAACGGTCCTTCCTGACTTATGTCAGTATCTCCGACACTCTTTGGTGTCCTGCTGTATCTAGAATCGCAGAAAACAATTAAAGCGATGTTTGTCGAGGCGAGCTGCAGCAGTGTCTCGCCCCCGGCTTGACAACTCAGCAGCTTTTTCCGTCTAAAATCTTGATGCTTCCAACAAGAGATTCTTGTTCCTTGGAACGCACGAACGGCAGCGTACCTCATGATTTTCTGCCCAGCGTCGACTTCGAACAGCGGCCTCCTGCCTAAATATGAAGCTCTAGTTCGTCTAGGCGCCGTGCCAAGAGTGGCAGTGCCGAGCCCCTTGGCGCGGACGGGGCAATGATCGGCCCCATTGCTGGCAACGATGCCCAGGCAATCGACCCCATTCAAGAGCCGTTGGTGATCTTATCTGTTTTGCTTGTGCGCGATTAGAAAGACTCGGCATGTTTCAACGCTTTAATATTCCACGTGTGAGGATCAAATTGAGATGAACGTTGTTTCCCAGATTGATTGATTGTGCAGCGTGATGCTTACCCCAATGGATGACTTGCCGCCCATCCCCACTGACACGTCAAAATCCATGGCTCCAACCGGTGGATACTACTGGGAACGCGACTGTGGAGGACACTGCGAAGCTCCCCTCGATGGCCAAGACCTCCTTAATTCATTCTCGACTTGATGTCTCGAGAATCGGCGCAGAGTCTGAACAAGTTCCCGCCAGTCGAAAACACCCTGGAAGATGGCATGCTGTGGGTATAAAGTGCCAGTCAGCCACTGTCATTGACCTGGAGTCCGAGCTCATCAGCGCAAGCTTTCATTGCAACATCTTCACTCTTTTCAATTCTGTAATACATCACTGACCCTTTCCGTCGTTCTTTCGAAATTTACATCAGTCATCATGCGCACCGACGCCTTCAAGTTGCTCGCGGCTCTTGCCGTTTCTTTCCCCGTCGTCTCCGCCTGCGTTGGTAAGGATGCTATGCCTACTGCTACTGAGACCATTAGCGGCGATACGCCCATCGAAGTTGCCGCTGGCGAGAGCTACGATGGCAAGCTGGCTCGCTTTGATAGAGGGTCCGGTGCCTGCAAAGCCCAGACGGAGGGTGGTCAGAAGGACGCCGTGTTCATCCTGCGCAAGGGCGCGACTCTCAAGAACGCCATCATTGGCAAGGACCAAATGGAGGGAGTTTACTGCTTGGGT